ACTATCATATTTAAATTTCTATCCCTTGTATGGAGTCCATAACGACTATATTTATCATTCTCATTTTTACATAAATGGAAAACAAAAGGGCCGTAGTTGAAATTATGAATTGAATGTAATTGCAATAAAATAGTTGAAAAGAAAAATAAAATACCTATAACTTCTCTCTTCATGAAATATAGAGATGAATATAACATTTATATAATAGAATTAGGGTTGAATATTTTAACAAGAATCGAATCATAGGTTCTAATCTGGTTCAAAAAAGTTAGGAACAAAATCGAGAACTGACTGAGTCCCAAACAAGACTTGGTTCTTAAATCGGAATCATGAGTACTTGACTTTGGAATCAATTTTTTTTCTTTTTATGAGTTTTTCCTTTTTACAATTATTTATCATCCTGACTCAATAACTCGGCCTAACAAGTAGCAAATTTGCAAGGTCTAAGTAGTAAGTACCCTAATCAACCATATTTACTTATTTGAGAAATAAAATTATATTACTCTAATTCGTAGTCGCTCTTGATCGTATTTTACGCACCGTCCATTCCACAAGTTCTTCTTGAGAGTCATACATAGAGCCACAAGTCGGATTTGAGCAATACTGTTTTGAAGTAGAAAAGTAAATATTCAGTTATGTTTTTCATTCATTCCCCTCAAATCAATTTGCCTCTAGAAACTTGGTTCTTGGGTCCAAATTGAGCTCAAATCTATCTTATAGTATATTAATGTACATTGAAATTGAAGCTTTCATGTTACTATGATACTTTCATTTTTCAGTTTTACCGGCCCTTCAAGAAAGGGAGCCAGAAGCTGCCATGCAATGTACTCTATCAGTACAGTAAGCTTTCTCAAATATCTGAATAATTATTTTCACAAGACACGAAGTCTTATTTAATTAATTAATTAGTTATGCCAACGTTGGCCCAAACAAACATATATAACATAAATTACTTCTCTAATAAGTTTTCTAATTAATAGATGAGAGACAAATTCACAACTTGTATTATAGTTATAGGCCGTGGTGAGATGCGTCAAATGAAAGATTGAGATCTAATAATTTAGTAAGAAGGAAGAAAATGACTTTGTTAAAACTTGGAAAAACAATAAACCATCACATCGAAGGTGAGACAACATTAATAAATGCATACACGTCTAGTTTATATCATCGCGTTTTAGGAAACCTTCCAAACTTGGGTAAATATAGTGAAATAATGATGGAAATGAGAGAGGGTAAGATGCTTTGAGACTTAACAAAATAAAATGTAAGATCTAAACATGACATTTAATCAAGATGAAAGAAAAAAAGAAGAGAAAAAAATAAGTGGGCTGCAAACAAGTTCGTATGTACGACAATCCTAGTTAATTTTGCTCGCGCACAGATATTCTTGCATGTGCCCATCATAGTTAGAAACGATATTCGTCTCACATACTTTATTATTTGTTAACAATACTGTATATCTATGATTATCATAATAATATGCGCGTGCTCGAGAATAAATAGCTTGCTAGAGTGACAAATGTGCACATTGGGGTTTTGAAATTAAGAAAAGAGAAAAAGGAGTACAAAGAGATAATTACAAAGTGTCGGCAATACTTTTGTAATTGCACTTGTCTTGTGATCTGTCTGCCCCAGTATTTGATAGCATGATGATCATCAAATAAAATTATCTTCTTTTTCAGCATGAATGCCCTACGTACGTACTAACATTAATTTATTCATTTGATAAACAATAAAAAGTCCTACTAATTAATCAATTAATCATCTCTCTATCTCTCTCTCCTGGCCAAGTCAACATCAAATTAGCGAGTAAAGAAAATGCATTGATTTGAAAGCTATCGTAGATTCTACGAATTTGCAACCGATTAAATTTATATATAGATAGTATAAATTGTGAATAAGTGCGTAGTATTTGTAAATTTATTGACATATATAATTAGAAATGAAACTTAATACTTTATACAAGGTTTATATATAAATCATTTATAAATTAGCCATATAGAGGCTACTTATTTCATCTTTATGTAGTTCTAAAATTGTCAATTTTGTTAATGTAGTCCAAAGCTTTATAATTTATTTAATTACTACTTTTATATCTAAATGACGAGAAATTTTACCTTTGATATATTTTCGTTAGATGATGGCTTTTTTTGCTATGCAACACTCGATAAATGGTTGCGCCAAATAAAATTATATGGAAACTATGATTCTCAATAAATGTCTTATAGAGAATCCTAAACAAGACTCATAAACATCTTTTAGCATGAAATTATAACCAAAACAAGATCAAAAGCATTAAAAACCAAGAATTCATCTATTCATGCATCTCTTAAAATTAATTCTTCAATAATACAAAAACACAAAACATTCAAGACTCATGCCCAAACTACGAAATATACAATCAAAGAATTTCAGATTAATTATAAAGTGAAAATAATTAATTTTAGACTGTTTTGATATCAATCGTTGAAAAACTAATAAAACCCTAGACAATATAATTAATTAGTAAAACTCTTGAGTCAAAATTTGTAAAAAAGGTAAAATTTTATTTCTTAGGATTTTACTAATTTTCAATACCTATTCTGATATGCCCCTTTGTCGTGGGGTTGTGATTTGTCCGATTGTTCTTGACATTTGGCAGACTACAATGAGAGATTCTTCTAGCTGTCAAATGTGTCTCTTTCGATGTTTGCTATATATGCCCTTAAGAGTAAGCTTGTTGAGAATTATGAATCCTAATTTATGCCACCGAAAACAATCCATTCGTAGAAAGAAAAGTAAACACCTAAGAACATGCAAGATTTATAAAGGTTTGCTTCAATGTGAGACTACGTCATATCTCATGACTGTAATAATCCATTAGGATTAAAAAAAAAAAAAGGATTTACAAGAGAAAATCATATACCTATCTTCTTTAACCTATATTTCTCTCTTTTTTGTTGATAATAATAAAGTTAGGATAGCCTATAAAGTGGCAATAATTAAGATTGACAATAATTAGGTTCAACAACTTAACAAAGTTTCCGGTACTCATAACTTTTACATTGATTATGCTTGGACCTATGGTTGAAGAAACTTTGACTTCTTGATCAACACTTGGAAATATCCTTGGAATTGCGCCTATCTAGGGGTAGATGTCTTTGTAGGCTTCCTCAAGTGGACAATGTGATTACTTACATCTACCTTGAGAACAAGGTGCGGGATTTACTGGCATCGGAAGCCCCTAGCATCAACTCTCCTATTTGGTATTGGATGACACCTCGTTTTATTTCCTTGTTTGTTTTGGAGGATGTATGTTGCAGAACTCCTTATAGATTTTGTTGATTTGTACTTTGACTACACTAGATAGAGTCTTCTCCTAACATTATCTATTTGGTTCTTATGTTCAACAAGCTTATGGGGAAAATAAAAGAAGAAGAAGAAGCTCTTGACATTAAATTTTACCGTTATCATTATCAAAATTGGTTTTTACGAGGCATTGAAGAACTTTGACTAGAGAAGAGAGAATCGAGGGGTGAAAACCCGTATTCCATCATTGTGTCTTTGCCAAATGATCTTTTAATTTATTAAACCCTAAAAGCCAAGGTTGAAGGAGAAGAGACATAAATTAATTTGAACCAGACATAACAAATACTATATATAGAGAGAGAGCATGTGGGTGTATAGTAGTATCTTTTGTGTGTGAAAGAAGAAGAATTAATTAATCTTTCTCAAAGTAATGAATAATGATGATCAATTGTCAAGTGACATATGGGAAAAGGTGGAATGGAACCCCTTTCCGACATTGCTTTTTTACGTGATTTTCTCATCTCTGAAGAAACAAAATTAATAAAAGTAAGATGGAAATTAAGTATTAATTAATTACAACAGAAAATGGAGGAAAAGTTGGGGTGAAAAATGATTATTAAACTCCCTAAATCATTACTCTCTTTCGTTGACATCAAGAAATTGAAAATGGTCTGGTTGAATATTGAAAAAGAAATGGTTTCTTCCATCATCATACAATATTAACTTTTTCATCAAAGAGAGTTTAATTTTTTTTGCCTAAAAAGGGTATATTTGCAATTTATAATGATTGATTCTGTGTTGAATTTTGATGCAAGGGATTATGATAGCTAACACTTTTCCTCATAAGGTTAATTAGCAAAGAAATGATGAATTTTACTTATATGATGCCTTATTTTTAAATAACTTGTTTATTTCAAATAAATCAATGAAGTGAACTACACTCACTGCGTATACGTATTCATTTTCACAAGAAAAACCCCACATACACTCATATATGCAAACATTAATTACTTACTGATTGTGACTTGTGTGATACACCATTTACATACATGCAGTTGTGTATTTGAATATTACATGTGATACAGTCGGTTCTTTAGTTTGTTGTTTGTATAATAAGTGGGACATAATCTTGTTGAAATCAATCCCAAAAAGAATTGAAATAAAACCTTCAAGCAAGCCACTATAATAGGATTAGCATATAGAAATTCGTGGAGGGTCTCATCTAAGACTAAAATAAGAAGGTTAAGAGGAAAGGATGTCTAAAGTCTAAACTTGCTTATGTGATTATATAAAATTACAAGTTAAAGAAGATGAAAATGAAGAGAATTCATGACCAGCTTGCTAAATTCCATTAACTAGTATGTGCTGCTTTTTTTTTTTTTTCCCATTAATTAGTAAATGTGCTGTTTGTTGGACCAAATATATATATTCTATTCGATGAAAAATTATTTATCAACAAATTAACATTTGTAAAGTACTTATATAAGGGTTTTTCTTAGATAAATACTGCTATTTGTATCCTGTAGTGAGTGAAAAAACGTCTTTTTGAGCGATTGGACTAATTTACAGACAAGGGAAATGTAGCAACTACTTAATTTACTATTGGTATGCTCAAAGTCACCTCTTCACACGTGGGATGGTTGTCTCAAAAAACAAAAAGTGACAAGTTTTCTTGTTCAAGTGTGTATATTTGATTAATGGAAATGATATTTACCACAAGAAACTGTAAAGAATATATAATTAATGGGTGCATGAAAGGGATACGTTTCTTTATCTTTATATATTTAAGTAAGCAGAGAAAGAAGAGTACAAATGAAGCTGCCAATACAAGCATTCTTCTTAGAAAGCTGCTCTATGTTGGCTTATATAATATAAGTTATAAAATGACGTACACTTCACCTATATCAAGCATGTATAACATAGCTAATATTTGAAAAAACAGCTCTCCGTGAGAGAGAAAAAGGAAAAAAAGATTTGTTAATTGGAGATGAAAATAAAATTAAGTAGCCACACCATGGATATATAGGTAGCTGACACTGGTGTTGAGGGCAGGTGAGGGAGACATGGGGCATCACTGTTGCAGCAAACAGAAAGTTAAGAGAGGACTTTGGTCACCAGAAGAAGACGATAAGCTTGTCAAGCATATCACTGTCCATGGCCATGGCTGTTGGAGTTCTGTTCCTAAACTAGCAGGTAAGTTATTTAATTATCTATTAAGTTTTTGATGATCCTTTATACATAATATTCCCACTCTTCTTTGGTATCTAGGGCTACAAAGGTGCGGAAAGAGTTGCAGATTGCGGTGGATAAATTACTTGAGGCCGGATCTCAAACGGGGTTCTTTCACCGAGCAAGAGGAGAGAACGATCATTGATGTGCATAGAATTTTAGGCAATCGATGGGCTCAAATAGCCAAACATTTGCCTGGAAGGACTGATAATGAAGTGAAGAATTTCTGGAATTCTTGCATTAAGAAAAAGCTTATTGCTCAAGGCTTAGATCCCAACACTCACAATCTTCTCCTCTCTTCTAACCAAACCAAGGTACTAAAAAACAACATCAATGCGAGCAACTCTTTTCAACAAGAAACGCCGGCTTTTACTATGGAGACTTCATCAAAAACTGCATCAGCATCTGATCTTGCAACTCTATTGCCTCGTATTAACATTCCACAATATGATCATAATAACACCATTCAGTATACTGGCGGCTCTGATCAATATCAAAACAGTTCTATGCTTCTTGGCACTCAACAAAGAATTAGTCAAAGTGATCTCTCGGCTTTGGGGTTTGCTAACTGTTCTTCAGTGGAAAGTAGCAATGTCATGTCCTCTTCTGGATTTGGAACCCTAAATGAGAGTTGCATGTGGGACGCTGGCGGCATTGAATTCCCATTTGAACAACAAAAAACAGATGATCATATCGTAATGGCACCGCAGCAGGAACAGAATATAAACGAGCTAAACCGTAGTGATCATCTGCAGAATGTGGGCGGGAATACATTTGACAGCACTTGCTTTGATTTTGATTTTGTTGATTCTGCACTATTGCCTTCTGGAGTTTATTGTAATGTCAATTCTATGGATCAACTTGCCTGGGATTAATTGCATGTTAGGCTCCGAATTCATTCCTTCCATCTCTCCGAGAAAGTAATTTATTTCATTTTTGCATATATACTTATTGTTACACAGACGAACTACAAGATCTAAAAGTTTTAATAGTTGGGAAAAAAATAAAAAATAAAAATCGTCCGTGTATCATTTAAATCTACCAAAACCCTCCACCCACTCATCGTTTCGTTTCTTTGTCGGTAAATTACTACGTCAGCCTAAACTCATTTTAATTCCAAACTTGTATTATGCGAGAAGATATATGATTGTAAGAAATGAAGACTAACTAGTTTGCTTGATATCTGACTCGACGTTAACGAATCACAATGTTTAAATAAATTTGAGGAGGTAAAGTGACAAATGTGTGATTTGAAATATATTTCAGTGCAAATATGTTGTTAGTTAGAAGTAAAGAAGGTTCTTTAAATAAAAGGCGGTCCTTCAAATTGTTGTCGGAAATCTCCCTTGAAAAGATGTTGCCTGGAGATTATTTGAATTGACTTTAATTTTCACCAGATAGATAGGGCCGGGGTAAAATGGAAGAAAATCATAAGCTTTATGCAAAAGCAGAAATAGAGAGCCTAGTAGCTCGCTCTCGCTCTCTCTCTCTCTCTCTCTCTCTGAGTTAGGACTAGGATGAATTAGTTAAAACTTTGAGATATTTAGACAAATAATGCTATTTATTGGAGTGGTGTTCATCGCCAATTTAAGTGATAATCGACGTCTTAGTTTTTCTTCAATACATTAAGCTGTTATTTGATGGGATTAAAATTTTGATAAAAGTTAATGAAATGTGCAGTTGAAAAAAAAATGTGGATTATATGAAATATGTGATTAAAATTAATTGTTACTTTGATTTAAATTAAAATCGCAATTCTATTACGTCACTTAAATTGGTCATGACCACTACTTAGTATTACTTTATTTAGATCCCGGGATTTAGTTTAAATTGGGGTAAATTTCATACATGGTCACTAAACTTGTGATGCAGTTTCTTTCGAGCTAATAAACATTAGGAGAGATAATGGAAGGGAGTCACTAGTGCTTTTGATTGGAATTTAGCTATTTAAAAAATGTTGAAACCCAACCTTGAGGGCTCCGACTATCCCGCCCCTAGAGTTTTGTGAGGGAAGTAAATCGCGGGATGTGCCCCAACAAGTCAGCGAACAAGAACTGTCTGTACATTGCGCCTACAAGAAGTCAATTTCATGTCTTAGGAATCAAACTCCCACACTGCGGTTGCCAGCAAGGCGTGAGATAACTTCACTTCCATCCTTTGCACCATTGAACTATGCCTCGGAGGGCTGGAATTTAGCTATATGAAGAGATTTGAAGTGGTCTAAGTACATAAATTTGATTGATCAGTCCCACCCTACCAGAAAAGTGGCTTTGTTATCAAATTAGGCCAATGTCTTCGAGCATTGGACAAACTTGATTTGTATTTATTGGGTTAATTTTACAGGATTGTAGTGTTGCTAATAATGGTATAAAATAAATAGCCATCTTGCTTCCTTGAATTTGTACATTAGAAAGATTGTTTCTTATAGGACTTATTTTGCATAGATTATCTTAATATGATGAGTAATGCTATTTAATATTATTGGTATTTAACAACAGTGACAATATTAATTACATTAAATTATAGGTCCAGATAAATACAAGGAATTATGTCTCGCTTAATAGTATATGTTGACACCTAAACTGATGTTCAACACCATTGAAATTAGATAGCATTATTTTAATATGATCCGAGTCGAGCTATATGTTTTATAGTTTAGTCATGTCAGTAATAATACTTTGTACTCTCTACAATATTGTTCCAAGTGTCATTTCTTTATCATGGTATCAAAGCAGGACTTTGATGAGTTGTTAAATCTCTAAAGACATTACTTTAACTCTCGTTTAATCATTTTAGTTTACAGGGTGTTACATAACGATTAAGCGATTACATGGTTATCAATTATGGTATAATTGCTACAACAAACTTCTAATTTCTTCCCTTTACTACTATACTTTGAAAAGTGATCAATTATTGTATTATTTTATTTTTGTGAACACCATCAATTAAATATCGTCGTTACGTCTCTTTTCTTTAATAACTTACATAAGCTCTAATTTCTCATATTTATACTTATTTTAACATTTTGTTTGATTTATATAACTTTTTTCTAAACGAATCATTTCTTAAAATTTGGATTTCAAAATGGCATAGCGTAATTTTTGGCTATTCAACACTTGATATAGTATTGTTTTTTGCTCTTCATAAAAGAACCATGCTAGGTGTACGGGACTACATGGACCTTGTACTACTTGGCACTCCCTTATATGTTGGGGGCTTGCGGGCCCTATACAATCATTATAATCCTTCATTATAAGATAGTATCATTTAATTGCACCCTACTTTTCAAAATCAAGGGTATGTAGGACTTTTTATCATAACTTGAGGCCATTTAAACTTAAAAATTAAACTGAAGCCTTTATAAACTCGGATTAAAAAATGCATCACTTTTTCATCACTTTTTTATGATACTAGTTTTTAGCCTGTGCAAAGCATGGGCTGTATTATTTTTAAAGTAATGTTAACGTGTTGAATGTTAATGAAAATCCAATGTGCATTCTAAAAATAATTTCTTATGCTCAGGGGACATCAATAGATAATTAATCAATCTAAAGCAGTTTTGATAATGTTTTCCAAAGCTATTATTGATGTATCCATTAACTGCATACTCTTATGAATTCAGCCAAATCACCATATATCTTGAGTAACATTTTATTCAAAAAGTTATGTTGAAATGCAAGAGAAAATCTGGGAAAAAGAGTATAAGATTGTATACATAGGAATATTAAGAGCATTCGTAGACTTCATTCACAAAAGAAACATAATACCTGTTGTATTTTGGAGATAGTATATCCAATAACGCAAATGAATGTAAGAAAATGATTTCCAGTTGAAATTCCATGGAACAATGTAAAAAGATTGAGTTACCTAAAACTCATATAAATGACATTATTTGCTTTTACTTAGTAAAGGAGGATGATAAGACAAGATCGCAATTATTATTTACATGCACATGCTAGAATAAAGCTATGACACAAATGTAAAGCAAGTGTAACTGTTTTTTCATGAAGAAACAAGTACCTTGTAAGTGAAAAGGATACAACCATCATAAAGAGAAAAAATGGCATTACTAAATCAGTGAATGTCAAACTGTAGTAATGGGGAAAACATTTTTCAGAAGAAAACTTAAATCCATAATATACTGGTACAATGATAATTCATCCAATCTTAAATTAAAGAGAAAAGTTGAACAAAATCCACACCAAATAATGAAGCATTGAAGACTATTTCTTAATGATAATAAAAGAAGTTTAAATATTATTAGTAGCAATTGCACAAGTAGACTTTACCAAAAGACTAAGGCTTAAGATCCTACACATAGGCAGATAAAGTAGCCTTAGGGATATTATATATAACTGCCTATTGTCACAAAACTATTGTAATTATTTTATGACTGGCTTTTTCTTCCAAGTCAAGGACATTGGTCTAGTGATCAGATTCAGAGGTTGTGTTACTCTTCTTTTTTGACTTCGAGTCTGTTTCAGTAGTTTCATCTAGTGCTTGGAGGAGAGGCCTCTTTGCAAAGATTGCAATCGTTACTTCGATGTATTTAAGAACTTCAGTGTCAGTGTTACATACTTTGTTTTTCCCTTTTGTGTTTTTCTTATCTGAACTCTTGTTCATCTCAGTTGCATTCTTGACATCACTTATAGCATTTGAAGGATCTATTTCAATGGTTGCGGGTGAGGAATTTACATCAGTGATGGTGGGTAGAGAGTTGAAGACGAAGATGAATTCATAGCGGTAATCGGGTGGATTTTGTTTTTTTTTTGTGTCACTTTTATATAGAATGGCAACTCTCTTTCACTACTGGTTTTCATAACATTGTTCAGCTCTCCATCTGGGTTCTGTGATAGATAAAATGCATTTTACTATTGTATTTTGGTGCTTCGAAAAAACTAATGCTAGAGGATGTTAGTAATTGGTGTTTACCTTTTGGAAATGGTCCATTATTTCATTGGCATTAGTTTCCAATAATGCCTCTTGTAACACCCCAATTTTCTATAAACTTCGGAATATAACGAAAAACTCATTTTTCTTTATTTTAAGTGCGGAACTATAAAAATAAAATTTTTTATTAAAAAATAATTGCAAAATTTATAAATCTAAATTTAAAATATGAAAATTTCATCTAAACATAACATAAACTCCTAATTAACTCAAATAACACGTTTGGAAAAAAATTAAAGCAATTGGTAAATTTAAAGACGGCAAACTTATTTCTTTTTCCTTTCATTTGATCCACTTGACAGCCTGTATCACCGCCCCTCTATAATTTCAATCGACCCGAAATAACCTGTAAAAATTTGTAAGAGTGAGTATTCAAAAATACCCAGTAAAATACGTACAGTTTCCATATGCAGATATATAACAATAAAATCTACATTTCATACCACTCTGCTCTTATGAAGTATATCGGTGACCAAGCGACATACCCATCTTAGGTCTTCTTATATCTCGTAGGATTTCATTTCTCTTTATATAGAACCCGAATGTCCACTAGCAATCCATACACATTTAATTGCATATAAAAGCATATAGAAACGAAAACAACTTGCACATATATATCTTACCTCGTTAGTGTAAGTATTATGCCCTAGGTCCAATCGACTTTGGACATAAATACTTTTATATATAATTAATGCAATTAAATGGCAGATCTATTATTTAATTAATAGACAATTAAATAAATAATAGAGTCCGTGGATTCAAATATTTGTAATTTATTAATCACAAGGAGTTGTGATTGTGAGATACAAATTACATCTGATTGAATCTTAAATCATCCGTGGTCGTAAGTAATAACGAGATACGGATATCGTTATTACGGATAGACCATCACGTGTGGCATTTCTTACTTGTGAAGTAAGTTGCTGATCTCACAAGTTAAAGTGTGGTGACACTTAA